GACATAGCTGTATACAGTTGGTCATCCTTATGCACATGCTCTATATCCATAGATTCGGCATACATGGATTCAATCAACCAAAGATCAGAATTTAGGAACAAAAATTTCATATGTATAGAGTTTTTTATTCTTGTCACTAAAGTATAACAAATATTTGGGTTATATTTGCATTCTTTTATGTATTATAAATGTAGAGATGATTTAAAACATATGGGGGAAGTGCATAGGTACGTAAATAAATACTTGAGCCTGGGGATCCCGGAGCCGGTCCCCTACAGTGGCAAGGAATGACTACATTTAAAAGCACAGTTTCTTCTCAGGGACGAGGACTCTGAATTCCATCAAGTAGAGTCAGACAGATGGCCAAGTTTTGTCAGGGACTTTGGACAGTTCTGCACTCAAGACCTCCCTGTCAGTCACGCCCAAGACTGCAAGCACAGGAAGGAGAGCTGCAGTGGGAAGAGATGGTTTTAGTAAAGCTTTCTTCCTTCTCTTTACAAAAAGTAAACCTGAAGCTATTTGCAATAACTTGCAGAGACGCAGTGCTAACTTTTACTTTGAGCATGCCAAAGCTGGAGGTGTAGAACCCCAAGGAAACAGATACTGAACTGTCCTTGCCTTATGTTTCTATGAAAGTTTATGAGGGGCTGGGGATTGAACTCAGTGGCACAGTGCCTGCCTGGCAAGCACGAGGTCGTGAGTTCGATTCCTGGTACCAGAGGGGGGGGAAAAAAAAAAGTTTATGAAAAGCTTTTCAAGAAAGATTAGAAAAGTAATAATACTCAAAAATTTAAAAAATCAACAATTTGCATCTACATGTACAACTACGTACATTAAAATCAACAAGCAATTTGGCAGTATCGATATTCTAAACAATATACTTACCTTTCGATTAATTTTGCTTTTAGAAATCTATCCTCAGGAAAGAGGTTTTTTATAATTGGAAACAACCCGTGTCCGGTTGTGTTTTACTCTAAATATTTCAACTGTAAGAAAGAAATTGGCTAAAACACTACATCAGAGGAAAAGAACTCTAAGAAAATATTCCAAAATGTTGCATGTCTTTAGGATAGAATTATATGAGTAATCTTCTTTCCATGTAATCTTTATGTATGGCCCATATGCTCTATATGGTACCTATATTAATTTTGCAATCAAAGAAAGATAGCATATATATGTTTTTTAAATGTTCTTCCCATCTTACCATAATGCCCTTCTTACGCTTACTAGTACAAATGTTTTCAGATAGAATCAGTGGGGGAGAGAGTGGCAGTGTAATGCCATTAAAATAAAATAAGAGGGACAGGAATATAGCTCAGCAGTAATGTTTGATGCCCAGCACTGTCAGGGGAAGAGGGAGAGAAAGTCACGGGGAAGAACAGTCTGTTGATAAAGCAAACATGAGATTGATAAGAGAAAACAACCTGTTTATATCAGACGGAGTACCAGTGTGGTCACGCTGTAGACTGTGACCATAGGCCAGGCTCTATGACATTGCACCTCCACCTTCTTGCCCTCTCTGCTCATTGGGAAGCAGCTGCCCAAAAAGCACTCAGCAAAGAGTACAAGAAACCCTGGGAAGGCAGACACTCCCCACAGACTGTTCCGTCCACCAGAGTGTGTGAAACTCTTTGGTCTTTGAAACAGGATATCATCCACATCTAGCACTTGGTCTCTAAACGTTACGAGATGTGAAGAGGCTTTTCTCTGAGTCATGAGCTGGAAAATATCTAAAGCAAGTGTGTGTTCACTGATCCCATCCAGGCAGCTATGTAAAGCGCCATCTAGTATAAAAAGTGGAAGCCATGGCTGCTATTTTAATGCTGATGATAAAGACCGAAGTTTCATTTCCCTCTCTGAGTACTGATCAGTTATTTATCCCCGTGGGGTTACATGATTTCATTTCAGTGTGTCAGTGTTTATCAAGGGAGCTCATTCTAATTGCATAGTTTGGGGCATTTCCCTGTTTTCCCTTTAGGGCACCTATGGCACCCTTTCCTCACCACCCTGTCTGACTGTTGCTATGCCGATTTATGAGTTCTTGCTACTGGTTACCTTTCTGAAAGATAAATGAATTTCATTCTGCCTTTAAATATTTATGTTTCCTCATGATCAAATATATCATCATAGATAGAGGAAAATTTTTCCCTAACTATAGAAAATACACCATCAGTTACCTGTCAATTTTGTTTAATAACTCAGCTTTGCAGTTCTGGCACATTGTTCATCTGCAGCTGCTGAGAACTTTTTTCATGTCTCAGTCCACTTCAAGGTATCATTCTGGGATTTATAAAGGTTTTCATTGCACAGAGGATATTGAAACAGTGAGGACTTAAGTGGCATGGCCTTTGTCCCTTATCACGGGATGATCCAGGACTAGAAACCCAGGCATCTTTGTCTTGTTGTTTGCTCCCAGCATGGAACGACAGCCTCTGTAGAAAACCAGCCAGTATCCCTGGAAACAATTCATCTGACTTTTCAAAAGAAACCCAGTTGCATCTGGGCTGACAGGTTCAATGTTACTTCTTAAGATGAATGATGAAAACATCAACATCATAATGCAAGGAATCCCAGTTCTTTTGGTTTAATTTTAGTGAAAAACATCACAAACCATTCACTACTGCTTCTGTAGCTTTCCTGCTGCCTTAGGTCCTTGGCTCACAGAGATGAGGATGGCTCTGTAACGATTCCCCTCCCGAACAGATTGTGGCTGAGTGCCAGCTGGCTTAGATAATTCCACAAGCACCCTATCTGGGGATGGGACCTCAAAACTCTGCTCTTTTCATAAGCTGCCCAGGTAATCATAGTGAGGCGCTCTGAAATTTGAAAACCAGTAGTCTAGAAATTGCAGCTTTCAAGTCCCTTCTAGCTTAAAAAGAATCATGAGCCCTAAATTTCCATTCCATTTGGTGAATCTACTGTTGTAATGAGTACTTCTTGAGCAATTTTAAAAGTGTATATTCTTAAGAATTTGCCCTAAGGAGACAGCTCTCTCCCTCACCCGTGCACCTATGGGAAACAGAATTAAACAGTATATAGCGTCAATTCTCAAATAAAGGCCAGTCTCAGGGAGGAAGCCGTTGTGTACCAGAGAATGTGTGACACCATAGCGCAAACATGGTACATCTTCCTACAGTGTGCTTTGTTGTTGCTGTGGCTGTTATTACTGTTGCTATTGCTAGTGTTGTTGTTTGGTGGTACTGGAGATTGAACCCAGGGCCTTTGCACTGAACTATACCCCTGACCCTTTTTTTTTTATTTTGAAGCAGGGTCTCTTAAGTTGGCAAGAGTGGGCTCACACTTAGAATTCTCCTGCCTCCGCCTCCCACAGTGCTGGAACATAAAGCTTACATGGGTTTCATGCTAAATGTGAAGCATGGCAAGTACTTTTGTCAATGTTCAAGGTTACCCTTGGCCAGTGGTTCCTGACTGTCAGGTTCCAGGAGCTTAAAACGCACACTCATTTAAAACCATTATGGAAAAGTAGCCCTAAAAGGACGCTCTACACAGCAATGCTGAATAATTTACTCCTAGAAGAGATTAATGAAGTTGCCCATCTAAAATGAACACTTTCATTCCCATTACTATATAGGGAATATCACAAAAGAATATTATTTCTCACTAGACATGCTGATATATGCCTATAACCCCAGGTACGCAGGAGGCTAGCAAGTTCAAGGCTTGCCTGGGCAACTTAGCAAAACTGACTGAAAATAAAAATCTTTAAAAGGACTGAGAATGTACCTGAGTTCAATACCAGCTACAAAAAAATTCTATTTTTAATTATATGTTAATTAGAAAACAGGGTCAGCAGAGCAAGAAGTAGACCAACCATATGAAAAGACACCAAAACTTTTCTTGATCACATTCCATAGCAGCAGTAATTTATAAAATATTCTTGAAATTACAGAGCTCCTAGAATATGTTCCCAACTCAAGGATGACTTTGTTTTAGGATGTGTGTTTTTTTAAATGTACAATAGATAATAAGAAAGGGAAAGAAATTGCTCAAAGGAAGGAACAATTGGGATGAGGGAAAGACAAAAAGAAAGTATTAAGGCCATATATATATATGGATCGGTGTCATAACTGTACTGCTGCTGTCTGATTGTTGAGGGAAACAGTTAATGATTAAAAGTTGTTCTTTTTTATATTTTGACCAATTTTGCATGCTTATATCTTGTAATCTGAGCAATTTACATGACAACAACAATTTGCAGTATAACAACCATTGGTGAATTCCTACAATCCTGTCTAGTGAAACTATGTATTGTCTCTGATATTCTTTTAAATTATTATTTTCTTATTCCCTTTAATGGTTTGATCAATATTGTATTCGTACATCTGGTAATCTGAGCAACTTTGTTGAAGATAACTATGTAGTATAACAACCACTGTTAATTCCTGTCATTTGGTTTGAAACACTGTATCATTTTTAATGTCTTTGCATTGTTTTGTTTGTATTTTGCTGTTGTTCTTTTTTTTGTTCTATTTTCTTTAAATTAAAAATTTCAACATTAAAAAAAAGATATTCCTGATGAAGAAGAAACAAACCCAAGTCCCTGAGTGCAATAATACAAGATTTTACGCCAATGATACTGATAAAGCCTTAAGATCCCTTCACCCCCACAAGTTGCTTTATATTTCTATTAACACATTATTATTATATTTCTAAGAAGACTTAACCTTTATGAATCACTACCGTTCTAACTCCTTCATATATGCATATTAATCAATTTAATTATTCCAATAACCCTAAGAGATAAATACTATCGCTATGTACTTTGTGGAGGAAAAAACTATATATTTCATAAAGACTCCAATAATAAATGAATGAATGAACAAAGGAGAGACTGAATGGGACAAGACCTGACTGCCAGCTGATCAGTAAGTGTTTATGGAATAAGTCAACAAATTAACACTTAAAAAGCATATTCACCCCCACCTAGACACCACTGCTGATGACAGAGGCACTGAGCAGGTGTCTGTCTTCTTCCCTAGGCAGTACTACGAGATGCTGTACAACACGGCCGATGAGCTCCTGAACCTGGTGGTGGACCAGGGCGTGAAGTACACAGAGCTAGAATACATCCACGCCCTGACGCTGCTGCACCGAAGCCAGACGGGGGTGGGGGACCAGACCACGCAGAACACGAGGCTGCAGAGGCTCAAGGAGATCATCTGCGAGCAGGCGGCCATCAAGCAGGCCACCAAGGATAAGAAAATAACTACCGTTTAATGGGTGCGCTGCAGTAGGGTGGGGGTTGCTTTTGTTTTTTCAGGCTCGCTTTATTTGGTGTGTTATTTAGTGTCTCCCAAGGTTAGTTGTGTCTGTGCTGATGCTTTAGTGGAAAGAAAGTGTAAGGATTATTTCCTCTTCAGTTTTGGCTTTTGTTAAAAGCTCTGAAAGAAGTTTGCAGTACAGAATTTTTTGGTATAACAACTACTTCAGTCCAGTTGATTCCAAGAAGTCTGGGGCGGGCTGGGGATTTAGCTCAGCGGCAAAAAGCGCCTGCCTGGCAAGCGCAAGGTCGTGAGTTCGGTTCCCGGTACCGGAGAAAAAAAAAAAAAAAAACAAGAAGTCTGGGGCAGGGCAGGCAAGGAAGGTACATTAAGCTATTACGCTCTGAAAAGCAAATGAATGAATAACTAATATTTTATTTATTCCCAGCATACATAAAATTCCAGCTTTGAAAGCAGACTGCCAGCTAAGTTTTCGGCCGTTCTTAAAGCCACTTAATAGTCTTCTGTTACATGAACAGCAGGGTTTTTACTCTCCTGACCTCGCTGGTTTACAGTCTAATGAAATAAGTGTATGTACATTGTTTCCTGTCACTTTTGCCAAAATCACATAAATGGCTTCTCAGCTGGCTGTGGCCTTCAACAAATTTCCCTAACCAAAACAAGAACTCTTCAGAGTTAGAGGGGAAGAATGTCGTTTATCTCAACCCCTTGGGGAATTTATATGCTGCAGCTTGTACACAGGCTGTTGCTTGGTTTATTGCCTTTTTATTCTGGCTGTTTCAAAACCAAGAGCCATAAATTAGTGACAAACATGGAAGAAGGAAAGGTGATCCAACCCTCTCTGCTTAATTTCCCACTCTGGTTTCCAAGGAAATAATGGTTAGCGATCACTCAAAACCTTGTGTGCAGTAAATGATTCTGAGGTGCTTACTTACCTTCCCATGAGCATCTGAGTCTTGCTCACCTCAGAAAGTAGCCTAGGTCTGCTTAGCTGAGGGCAAGGATGATGGACAGCCGTGACGTCTCCTCTGCGGGGCCGCCAGCTCAGCCTGTTTCTGAGCTGCTTTTCTGTTGTGCGGACGCTCACTGTGTCCCTGGAGCGCTGGACCTCACCGCTGTCCCAGGCCCCAAGTCTTCTTGCTGTGCCTCATCACAGGGCACAAGAGGCAGCAGTGCATTGATCAGGAAGCGTCTTGAACACACCCGGAAAGGCGAGCAAGAAGGCCTGTGACCAGGTCTTGTACCTATTTGTAGCAACTTTGGTTCTGATGAGATAAACAGAAAATTAAAAACTGTCTTGAGAATCTTAAATGTGGCATGTTGTTTTTCTTTCTTTATTCAGCAAACATTTCCTGAGGGCCTAATATGTGCCAACTACTGCTATGCTCAGGGCAGATATACAGACAAAGAGGGTACTGCTATTATCTGAGAAGGGGACTTGACTCCAAATCCTGATGAGCATTCACTCACGGCTGAGTTAGGAATTGGGTCAGACAGTGAGGCAGCTATGCAAGGATACAGCAGGCAGCTGCAGCCCCTTCCGGGGCCTTCCAGAAGGAAGCAATGCTGCAGATTTATATGGTTCAGAGGGCTCACTGAGAAGAATTTGAGTCTGTGTAGGAGACCACCATGGAAAAACAAGTGGCTCCAAACAAGGTCCTTAGAAGTGATCTACCCAAGAGTAGATGCGGGAGGAGGAATATAAGGGGCGCGTAGAACGAACCACTTTGGTCAGGAAGCTTCTCCTTAATAGCCATGGCCTCCCAGAGTGAACACTGTGACTCTTCCTCCCTTCCTGCCCACCCAGGGTGGTAAACCTGAGTGACAGCAAGGCCAGAAGAGCCAGGGGTGGGGGTAGGGAGTGCTTAGCTTAGTGTTCCTAGAGATGGAAAAGGTCAAGGTTTGGGGTTGAAAAGAATGTCAGGAGCACTGAGAACCAGCAGAAAAATGGCAGATAAGCTGCTACAGAGGCTCATTTAGGAAAGTGGGCTCCTTGCTCAACTTCACAATAATGATTCAATTCTGCACAGCAAAGGGGGCCTAGGGACTTTGGTCTAAGACTCTCAAAGCACAAATTTCTGTGAAGGTTACTACACCAGTCTTCATTCTTTAAAAGGTCAAACATATCCAGTGATACATTCAGCAGATGGTTGAATGGATGCAGATGGAGATGGTTTGGCCAGCTGCAAACCTACCATCACTGGGGACAAAGTGAAGATTTTTACAGACTTTGCCCTACTTTGGGGAGATTGTCAAACTGGTTTTGTGCTATGCAGTCAGGACTGGAAATCACTAACAGATCCAGGTCCACCAAGAACAGGCCCCAGCTTATATACACACTGATATGTAGCCACAGAGCACCTACCATAAGGACCACTCCTAAAGTATGCTGTTGCAGCTCAGAGGGCCAACAAGATAGGCCTCACCAAACAAGCACGGAAAATAAAGCAAGCCAGTTTCTTGCACAAAGGAACAAATGGGTTATAGCTGACTCTTCCTATCCATGGCTTCTGAATCTTAGGATTCAACTAACCACAGATCAGACACAGAAAAAATTGTGTCTATGCTAAACATGAACAGGCTTTTTTTCTTGTCATTAGTCCATACACAAAACAGTACTATTTACATTGCACTTGTATTGTTAGGTAGTGTAAATAATCTAGAAATGATTTAAGACACAGGAGGATGTGCGTGTGTTGTATACAGTATCATGCTACTGTGTAGAAGGGACTTGAGTATCCTCAGATCTTGACAACCACAAGGGTCCTAGAACCAATCTGTTATGGTTTGTGTGTAGATGTCCCCACAAGGCCTCATGCTGCAGTAGGACTATTTCAGAGGGGCCTGAACCTAGAGTATGGGCATGTGATTAGTAAATCAGTCCACTGATTGGTTTGGCATAAAGAGCATGTGATTAGTAAATCAGTCCACTGGTTGGTTTGGCATAGTTCTGGCTAGGATTAAGGGTATGAGTGCTACACCCCCCTAGGGCAGGTAGCTTGCATACAATATAAGGGACAGAAAGAGGCTTATCTTTCCCTTGTTGCTTTAGCTGCCTTATGCGTGCTATGAACTTTTCTCTGCCAAGCCACTCTGCTTTGCAGCCAGCCCATTATAGAATGCATCCTCCACAAACGGTGAGCTAAGCAATGATAAAAGTAACTAAGACACAATCTCCTTCCCACACCAAGGGATAGTATGCGGCACATTGTCTGCGGCCCTAATCACACCACCTTGGAGAGGGCTCTCGGGACTAGGGAGGGTCTTGAGATGGACGGTAAACATGACCGAGACGAAGAAAGGCTTTGAGGCTGTCTGACCCAGCCTGATCCTCACAGAAAGCTCCACCAGCGATGGCGGCTCCCAGGGAGAGCTTGCTTCTCAGTCGCCTACCCTGTGGTACCTGCCATGTTTTCCTGTTTTGTCCTCACAACAACTCAGTGTCATAAATACCGCTTTCCTTTCTAGCATGCCCCGGGGGTCTGAAAGTAGTGGAAGAGTCTCTCCCAGTCAAGCCACTGTTAGGATAAATTCCTTAAAAAAAGAACTAAATTTAACAAGTTGGATCGAGTTCTTGAAAGGTGTTGGCAAGTAGTGTTCTCAGAAGTACTGGTAGTTGTTTCTGCTGCAGTCTTCCTGTTATCACCTGTCAGTACACCTCTTAATTTATAAACAAAACTAATCTTCAGATGTTCCCTTTACCCCACGAGCACCTATTTAAAAGACCCATTCTATTAATAAAGTTTCTTCAAGAACGTTCAGCCTGATGCGGTGTTTCTATTCTTACCTCATGATGGGGTTATGAGAGCTTTTTACTCAACCAGAACTTTCGCCCCTCGCAGCTGATAACATCCCTAACGATTAGTCAAGGGTACATTTCTTATGCTGCCCTTTCCCGAAGCGGGCAATACCTGTTCGCAGCCTCTGAAAGACAAGCTTACTGCTAAGGGGGTCCAGACCAGCTGGAATTCACTGGTGGGGCCAGGCCTGAGCTCCTACAGCGCGTTGTCATCGGATGGCATTCACACAAAATCTGCGATGGGACTTTCTGCCCAGAATCACCGCCGTAGGCCCCGAATGACTGTTCACAGAAGCCCCAGCCCCTCTTTAGGGCTGTAATCTTGCCTGGGTGTTTTCTAAGCTTAGTAGTCATTATTCTGTGGTTCAGATAGTTCAGAAAGAAAAACTCCAACAGAAACAAGTCAAATTGGTAGCAACCAAACCCTGATGATTCTTACTGTCAAGTCATATCCGTGGATTTCTTAGCACTAATGTATTCATTCAGTCAGTCAGAAAAATATAATTGCCTCTTACAGCTCAGGTGATGTGGGAGTCATGCGATGGCAAGCAAAAGAGACAGTTCCTGTGACACGGCAGTTATACTTCCACTCGCTCCTTAAAACTTCCACTACGATCTTGCTCTTGCCAGAGCCCATCCTCCCCCCGACCCCCAGTTCTCTAAGATTTCATTTAGGAAGACATCTCAGGACTGAGAACTGAAACCTTCAGCCAGACCCCCTGTTGCTCTCATCTGAGCTTTGCCCTCTGGGGTCCAGAACTGTCACCATTCACTACTCACTGTGCCCTTGCTGGCTGGACAGTCTGGCAGTTTCCCCTTTACTGTTTCTGGATGAACAAAGGGATTCCTGCCTCACCGGCTCTATGAATGGACCGTGGCCGTCGCATTCAGGATTCTTGTCCTGAGGGATTGCTGTGGCTGCCTCCCCAGGACCAGGCCATAGAAATTTCATAATAAAGAACCAAGGAGACCAGCGACCAGCCTGAGCTTAGCAAGCTCAAGTTTGAATCACTCCATTCAGGGTAGATGTTAAGACCAGCAAACTGGCTGCCTATCTAGCAGGATATGAAAATGAGAGTCCTGGTCAACAAAATTTTGCTTGAAAAGCAAAGTATGTTGCTGAAATATGCACACCTGAGTGCAATTGTCTTAATGTGGCACGGATGTAAAACAAATTGGGCCTAATTTTGAGGGAGGGTAATGAGGTACCAAGAACAAGAAAACATAAAGAGTCACTAGGCTCGACAAAGGTCTCAACTCGCTCCTAATTAGGCACAGTTGTTATGAGAAGTACATAATTAATAAGCAGATGACCAGATGTGAAATACAGTGAAGTTTTTTCCTGAATAGAAGTGGTAATGAACTGTACACAGCTGGAAGTTGTTGTCCTAATTTGTCTGAGGCAGAAAGCCTGCCTGGAATTTTGAAGAGGTGTAGTAAGATGTACACTAGGTTTACACCTGAAAACAACTAATCCTATTCCAACTGGGCTGGGGTAATGAGATAGAGCTAATTATCAAGAGTGTAATGAGATGCAAACGCCATTGGAGCTGAACTGGAAATTTCTTTGAAAGTGAGCTGGAATGCAAATGCTGGAAAAGCACTTTTGGTAACAGAGTAAGGTGTGAGTGTGATGAAATGCACGTGACTGGAGGGGTTGCTGTCATGTACCTGGGCCAGGTACGCGTCTGTGATTACAAATATCGCCAGGGCTTTGACACACCTGGAACAGGAGTCCCTGGGATCTCAGGACTGCACTGACCTGTAGAAATTGCACATGTCTTTTTTTAAATGAATACACAGTTTAGGTGTGTATATACAACTGAAAAAAAAAGAGGTGAGATGCTTTCAGGTGAGTGCAGTTTTCATCGTATTGACCCTATGTACAAACATGGCCTCAGCTTCCCACTGACTTTGCAGTAGATACAGTAGGAGGAACCTGATCCCAAACAGAAAAACCAGGCTGATTTTTCCCTCAGAAGGATGCACTTACAGAGGGATCAGGAAACGGTTAGCAGGGTTTTATTGTTTTTGTTTTATAATTGCTGTTATGTTACTCGAGACACCTTTTTTGAACACTGAATGTGTGTCAGATGATTTGCTAAATGCTTTATCACATCCTTTCATTTGCTCCTCACAGGAACGTGATGACAGAGATACTATTATCAGTCCTGCTTCACAGAGAAAACTGAGGCCTGGACTGAGGACTTTGCCAAGTGGTCTTGCGCTGCCCTGTGCCAGAGTTCACTTCAGGTCCCCCTCTCTGTTCTCTATTCAGAGCTAACCCTCTGTCCAGTGTGCAAAGGGGAAGGACCTCACCTGCTCTGACCTCAACTGACATTCTTTAATAGTTTGACTTCTTATCAGGGTTGGGGGAATGAGGAGTATTTTCAAGGGTGAGGTCCCCAAAGAAAGCATGCGAACAGACATCAGCAACAACAGCAAGCAGCCTCCTTATTGTCCAGCTCATATACATTAGGTGTCATTAAGCTTACATTCTTGTGCACTGTCA